AGGCGCCGCCAAAGCGGGTGCGCAAGTCTGCATCTCGCGACAAAGCGACCGTCTTGTTGACGTTGTCTGCGAGACAGAAAGAACGCCTTCCTATCTATGCGGCTTGGTTGGCGGACTGGCTGTCCGCACACGGAGCGTTCGAGAACACAAGTGCCGTAGCACGGACGCTAGCTCAGCGCCGAACAGCCTACGATCACAGACTGTGCGTTGATGCCTCGAGCCGCGAGTGTGCGATCCAAAGCCTACGCAGCTACGCGACCGGCAGCGAGAACGCAGGAACCACCAGCGGCCGTGTCATCAGGGGCGCAGCGCTGAAAGGAGTCGTATGGGTCTTCTCGGGTCATGGTGCCCAGTGGCCCAACATGGGCCAGCAACTGCTCCTCAACTCTGTCTTTCGCAACAAGCTGTCCGAACTGGACCTTGTCTTCCGAAGAGAAGCTGATTTCTCCAGTATCGAGGCATTGCAACAGGGCGAGCTTGGCGGTTCGGACAAGATACAGATCCTCACGTACGCAGTGCATGTTGGGCTAGCGTCGCTCCTGCAAGCGGAGGGTATCACTCCGCAGGCTGTCCTTGGGCATTCGGTGGGCGAGATCTCAGCTGCGGTCGTCGCCGGCTGCCTGACTAGCGAGGAAGGTGCGGTGATCGTCGCACGACGGGCGAATCTGTATACACAGGTCCAAGGCCGCGGAGCTATGGCGTTAGTAGCACTGCCATTCGAGGAGGTTGCTGCGGATCTTGGCGGAAGAAGGGATATCGTCGCTGCCGTCAAGTCGTCTCCATCGACATGCGTGGTGAGCGGCACAAGGCGGGAAGTTGGTGCATATGTGCATCAGTTGGAAGATCGTGGCATCGAGACTTGGAGAGTCAACACCGATATTGCGTTTCACTCACCTGTGCTCGAGAAGCTCCTCGCTCCTCTTCGAGACAGCTTGCAAGACGCTCTCCATCCCCGTCCTGCCACCCTACCCATCTACTCCACCTCGCATCCTGATCCAAGGACTGAAGCACTGCGAGATGTGCGCTACTGGACGCACAACACGAAAGCGCCCGTGCGCTTCACCGATGCAGTCGACGCTGCTGCCGAGGACGGTTTTCGCGTCTTCCTCGAGGTGTCAACCCACACGATCGTCTCGCACTCCGTTGAGGAGACTTTGAAAGCGCAATCTTTGAGCGAGTGTGCCAGTTTCGGCGTCATGTCCCGTAACGCGTCGTCTGATCGCACCATTGCCAAAGCTGTCTCGCAGCTCTATGCCCTAGGTGCATCCGTCAATTTTAGGTCTCAGCTTGGCGACGGTCCGTGGTCGGACAGACTCCCCAACACGCCTTGGATCCACAAGCCATACTGGAAGATGCCTCCCTTCGGTCTTAGGCCTGCTGTGCAGCAACACCACGTCGAGAAGCATACGCTATTGGGGGGCTTGGTGGAGATTGCAGGAACCGACACGTCGGTCTGGACCACCATCTTGGACGAATCGACAAAACCATATCCTTCCACCCACAGACTTGGAACTACAGAGATAGTGCCTGCGGCTGTATACTGCAACAGCCTTCGCGGCGTAGCAGGTGCGCACCACATCACCGATCTACAGCTACGTGTACCCATATCCATCACAGCAGAGAGCCGGGAGCTACAGGTCGTCTTGCAGGGTGACGCAGTCCAAATATCGTCTCGCGTGCATGTATGCAAGGAAGCGTCGGGCGATGGCAGCGATGGCGGCGATGGGCGAAAGCACGCATGGGTCGAGCACTCTACCGCTAGGCTTGCTCGCTCTGGCACAGCACCCTACCAGCACCGACATTCCATCGCTGCCATCCGGCAGCGGATACCAAGTCTCCTATCGAGCAGCTTTGCGAAAGAGCATCTCAGCAGTGTGGGCGTGTCTGGCATGGCCTTCCCGTGGTGCATCCGTGAGCATCTTGGCGGCCATGAAGAGATGCTTGTTCAAGTGGACATGCCAGGCGACACCAACACGCTGTCTGGAGACGCGCAGAGCTGGGCACCTCTGATAGACGCAGCCACGTCGATCAGCTCGTGCATTCTCTCCAAGAACACCACAATGTACATCGTCAGCGGCATCGATAAGGTCGTCTTCGTCTCCCAAGGCACACCGCCAAAGACTGGATACTTGTTGATTGAGCGAAGGCCGGAAGAGAAGCCTCAGAGAGTGGATGTCGAGATTCTAGACATCGATGGAACACGCCTGTGCAGACTCGAGGGTATGCAGTTCACCGACCTTGGGGTAGTAAGTTATACGAGCCCACGTGTGGATCCGCTGCTGTATCGGTTGACATGGGTTCGCCCGACTCTACGCGAAACACCGCTGCCAATGGACAATGTGATACTGATCTCCGCCGACGCGCACTCGATCCGTTACCTACAGGAACTAACATCCAGGAGGCTCAACGTTTGCCACGTGTCGTCCGTGCTGGAACTGGAGGACCGCGTTAGAGACGTCCCGTCACGAAGCAACACGGTTGTGCTCTACGTTCCGGGGAGGGTGAGAGAGATCAGGGACGTTGCTGAGACAGCCCACGCAGCTGTATGCGAGACAGCAAACATCCTGTCCACACTCG